ATGCAGCACTGTAACATCACTCACACCCTCCATACACAGCAAAACCCTCCATAACTGTAAAATTTTTATCACTAAAATGATTAGCCTAATATGTAAAACAATGCCAACAAGTCAAGTGATGCAATACAGCACAATGAGGAACACCCTCCCCACTGGGTCTGTGTACCCACCCTGCCATTGGGGGGAGCTCTACGGGTGAGGGCAGACCCTGGTCTGACTCCAGCATGCCGATGAAGAACTCCAAAGGCTGTACAGTAGACGAGATTTTTCATCCGCCATGATGGTCCTGATGTATCTGTATGCATAGATCTTCCCTCCTTAGCCCTATCTTCCCTTCCTCAACCAATAGACACCAATAACGAGTGATTTGTGGAGTAACTAGTCCTGGAACCTACAAAGGGAGAGGAAGCCCATGATTTAGTCCTAAGCAAAGCTCAGGGTCTGCTCCAAGAAGTCAGTATAGCTGGACTGCTTGGCAATAGCACCCATAATGCAATGGTATTGAACAACCTTCGGGAGGGAAATCGTATTTAACTTCGGAAAGGGGAATGGCACAAAAATGAGGAGACTACTTACATGTAAATATAAAGGAACAGTTAACTGAGTGAAGTACTTGCAAACAGCCTGGGAAAAAAACAAAACAGTAAGAGGATCCCCGAAATGGTATCCTAGCTAAACAAGGGTATGTCTACACTACCCTCCTAGTTCAAACTAGCGGGGTAATGTAGGCATACCGCACTTGCAAATGAAGCCTGGGATTTGAATTTCCCGGGCTGAATGGCACAAAAATGAGGAGACTACTTACATGTAAATATAAAGGAACAGTTAACTGAGTGAAGTACTTGCAAACAGCCTGGGAAAAAAACAAAACAGTAAGAGGATCCCTGAAATGGTATCCTAGCTAAACAACAGAATAAAGGAGGCAGGTAGAGACAAACAAAAACAGCAGTCAAATCCTACAAGGAAAATAGAAAAGAACATAGGCTCTGTCAAGTCAAATGTAAAAATATCACTAGGCCAAGAAAAGAGTTTGAAGACACTAGCAAAAGACACAAAAACCACCAGAATTTTTTTTAAGTACCTCAGAAGCAGGAAGCCTGTGAACAATTAGTAGGGACGCTGTACAATTGAGGTGCTAACAGAGTATTTAAGGAAAACAAAGCTGTTTCAGAGAAGCTAAATGAATTCCTTGCATCTGTCTTCAGTGCAGATAACATGAGGCAGAGTCCTACAACTGAGCCATTCTGTTCAGATGAGAAATCTGTGGAACTGTCCCACAGTGAGGCGTTCAGGAGAATTTGGAACAAATTGATACATTAAACAGTAATAAGTCACCAGGAGCAGATGGCATTCAGGCGAGAGTTCTCAAGGAACTCAAATATGAAATTGCAGAACTACTGATTGTGGTATGTAACCTATCCTTTAAATCAGCCTCTATACCAAGTATAGGGATGGTACTTCCTATCCTTTAAATCAGCCTCTATACCAGACTGGGGGGCCTCCTTGGCACAGTAGGCAGTGTGACAGTCTCATAATCTGGAAGTCCTGAGTTTAGCCCTAAGAGAAGACAAGATCGGTTTGGTTAAATTTTTTTTGAAAGGCAAACATAATCTAGGCAGTGCTTGGTCCTGCCGTGAGGGCAGGGGACTGGACTTGATGACCTTTTGAGGTTTGTTCCAGTTCTAGTGTTCTATGATTCTATGATTGGGGGATGATTAATCTAACTTCAGTTTATATAAAATAAAAGTCTTCAGAGGAAATCCTGGCAATTACAGACAGGTAAACCTAACTACAGTAAATAATAGAAATATCAGACACATAAGTAAACATGATTTCTGAGGAAGTTAATGTGGCTTTTGTAAAAGGAAATCATGTCTCACCAATCTATTAGAATTCTTTGAGAGGGTCAACAGGAATGTGGACAAAGGGGATCTAGTGAACATACTGTAGTTGGAGTTTCAGAAAGCCTTTGACAAGGTTATTAAGCGATCATAGGATAAGAGGGAAAGTCCTCTCCTGGATCAGTAATTGGTTAAAAGACAGGAAAAAAAGAGTAAGAATAAAGTGCTTGGTCCTGCCGTGAGGGCAGGGGACTGGACTTGATGACCTTTCGAGGTTCCTTCCAGTTCTAGTGTTCTATGATTCTATGATTGGGGGATGATTAATCTAACTTCAGTTTATATAAAATAAAAGTCTCCAGTGGAAATCCTGGCAATTACAGACGGGTAAATCTAACTACAGTAAAAAATAGAAATATCAGACACATAAGTAAACATGATTTCTGTGGAAGTTAATATGGCTTTTGTAAAGGGAAATCATGTCTCACCAATCTATTAGAATCCTTTGAGAGGATCAACAAGAAATGTGAACAAAGGGGATCTAGTGAACAAAATGTAGTTGGAGTTTCAGAAAAGACAGGGAAAAACGGGTAGGAATAAATTGTCAATTTTCAGAATGGACAATGTTCCTCAAAGATCAGTAGTGGGATCTGTGTTGTTCAACATATTCATAAATGATCTGGAGAAGTGGGTAAATAGTTAAGTGGCAAAGTTTGCAAGCAATACAAAATGACTTAAGACGGTTAAATCCAAAGCAGACTGTGAAGAGTAACAAAGAGGGTTCATAAATTTCTGTGACTGGGTAACAAAATGAGATGACATTCAACACTGATAAATGCAAAGTAATGCACACTGGAAATGAATAATCTCGATGATACAAGCAAAATGGTAGGGTCTAAATTAGCTGTTAGAAGTTAAGAAAGAGATCTGGGAATCATTGTGGCTAGTTCTCTAAAAACATCTGCTCCGTGTACAGTTGCAGTAAATAAAACCTAATACAATGGAAGATAATAAGACAGGAAATATCATAATCACAATAAATAATATGAAATGGCCAGGGATATGGAATACTCAAGAATAAGAAAACTCATAAATGTAATTATGCGAATGACTGGCATGCCCACACATGGAAAACGTCATGTAGTTTTGGTCACTTCATCTCGAAAAAGATATTTTTGAATTGGGAAAGGAATAGAGAGGGGCAAAAATGACTAAGTATATTGAACAGCTTCTATATTAAAAAGATTAAGAAGTCAGGGACTATTATTCTTAGAAAAGAAATGAGTAAGGGGGATATGATAGAGGTATGTAAAATCATAACCGGAATGGAGAAAGTGAATAGGTAATCATTGTTTACCTCTTATGTAAAGACAAGAACCCAGGGTCACCAAATAATTTTACAGATTACAAGTATAAAACAAACAAAAGGAAGTAATTCTTCATATAGCACATTATCACCTGTGGAACTCCTTGCCAGTGGGTGTTCAAAAAGTCCAATTAGTTAAGTTAATGGAGGATAGTTCATCAATGGCTATTAGCCAAGATGGCCTGTCACACAACTCATTGTTCAAGTGTCTTTAAATCACTGAGGGTGTGTCTACACTGCAGACTTATTTCAAAATAAGCTATTTTTGAGTATTTCTTCCGGAATAGCTTATTTTGAAATAGTGCATCTACACTACAAGGAAGCCTCAAAATTAGTCCAAGGCAGGCTCCCCTAATGTGGATATGCTACCTCGATTTAGAACCCCAGGAGGCACTGGGGAGGAGCTATTTTGAAATAGTTGCACTGGAGCGTCCACACTGCTGCTATTTTGAAATATCTATTTTGGGGAGAGGCATTATTCCTCGTGGAATGAGGTTTACAGAAGTTGGAATGAGCCACCCGTTATTTCAAATGTATTTCAAAATAATGGAATAGCTGTGTACACTCTTGCATTATCATTCCAAAAATGCTGCTGCTATGTAGATGCACCATAATTGTCAGATGCTGTAACTGGAGGACTGGGGTTGGATCACTTGATTATTGCCTTGTTCTTTTCATTCTCTCCAAAGCATTGGGAAATAGCCACTGACACATGACAGGATACTGAGGTAGGTGGATCATTGATCTGATCCAGTATGACTGGTCTCACATTCTTTTACATTACTCTCCTTTAATTCTAACTGCTCTTGCTGGGGAGCCATGTCCAACTGACAAGACGATAATTATCTGGGCCATCCCATTAGCCATTTTTAAATATTGGCACAACCTTAGTTTTCCAATGCTAAGGTCCTGCATCTGGCCAATCTTTGGCCTACGTATCATCTCCAGCCAAAGGGAGAACTGTACTGAGACATGTCCTAGTGTTACCAGCATAGTCACCATGTTCTGTGTGATGCCAGTGTCCCAGGTCCCCTTCACAGGAACACCTGGGCCAGGCTGGGTTTCATTCCTTCCCTCATAGTGTTACCAGCATAGTCACCATGTTCCGTGTGATGCCAGTGTCCCAGGTCCCCCTCACATGAGCACCAGGCCCAGGCTGGGTTTTCATTCCTTCCCTCTCCACATCTGGTTGTTCTACAGGCACAATGTCTGGCCAAGCAGGCCTGGGTCAGTGTGAGAGGGACACAAGGCCCCTGGAGCCATAGGCTGAGGGTGGGCAGTGAGGAGAAAGCGGAGTGAAAGCTGATGCTGCCAGAATAGGCCTAAAACTCAGAATAGTTGTTATTGACCCTCTCCCATCACCCAGACATGTTCTGCCCTGGCAGTGGTGCACATTGTGCACTGTAGAGGTCGGTGAGGCTGAGACAGACACCGGCTCACGCCAACAACCTGCCCTTGTGCTTCACTTCTCAGGGGAGACTTGCAGCTGGAGCAAGGGGAAAACAATGGAAATTGCAAAGAGCCATTTGCCCTTTTCCAGGGAATGGATTTAGAAATTCACTAGTTTTGGCTCAGCGGGACTATTGAGCCAGTTGCAGGGAGATTTCTATGGGAAACCAGGGGGTCCAGCACTTCCTCATACAGAGACCGGATGACTGGGGAGGGAGGAGTGGTGGTGAATGTTTCCCTTCTCGTCTCACAGGGGAGGGCTCTTCTGGCCACAGAAACATCAGGGCCTGTCTCAGATACGCTACTGGAGCCCAGAGCCTGTCCAAGCTGGAAGGAGGGATCTGGGCACAGAGCCCTGGGCACAGAGCTCATCACAGATCAAGTCTGGATGCTGCTGTGGGATATTCAGGTGGAGTCACCAGCTCTCGGTCCCCCCATGATCCTGCTGTGGCTGCTCTGTGAGTTTGCAGTGAGCTCTCTGCCTGGGCAATTGGGGGAGGCAGATTTATGGCTTTGTTGGGGCGGAGGACAAAGAGGGAATAGCCTGGTGAAGAACTTATGGTAAAAATTCTTTCAACGGACAGCTGCCTGTGGATATAATACTGAGCTCTGAACAATTATTTCACGTTGGGTTTAAAAGCTCATTTTCAATTTGCAGACCAAAGTTTCTTCCTAAATTCTGAGAGAATACTTAATTCTCTGAACATTATTTGATAACTAGCTCTTTTACTTTATCTATATATGTAATGCCTCTGAGAGTGTGTACTGTGCTCAGATATAGACTATACCCTGTGGCTGAGATTTTCAAATGTGCCTAAGGGATTTGGACACCTTGTTCAAATCAATGGAAACTAAGCGTTCAAATCACCTACACAGCTTTGAAAGGCTGATCCTGCGGGCAGTTCTGCAATAGTCCAGAGACTGGAGCTGCATGAAAAAGATGATATTGAGGTTACAAATCAGGAAATGAAAGGGTTAGGTCTGACTGCAAGGAGCTCATTTCAGGGATGAGGACAAAGAGTCAAAGATGATTTGGAAAGTAGAGAGCATAAGAAAATGCTGCGCAGATCACTCATGTTTGTGTGCTGTGTTTTTGGGAGGTGACATGGTGAGGAGTGTTTTACCATTAGAACACATTTCACAAACGTTAAGGGAGACTCTAATCCTGCCTTGCAAATTATTCTAGCTTTGTAAGATTCCCATTTGGGGTTTTCCATTGACAGCCATGTTGAGACCCAGGAAAAAAGATGGATCAGATTGTAGGCTCTTACAACACCCCTTAGCCAGGATTGCTGGGCTGTTCTTGGCTTAAATATTAATAGTAATGTCCCCGTGCAAAAAGATGGATCAGATTGTAGGCTCTTGCAACACCCCTTAGCCAGGATTTCTGGGCTGTTCTTGGATTAAATATTAATAGTAATGTCCCCATGTATCTGTGTGTATACTTAGAGATGCTGTGTCTGTCACTCATTCCCTCTTCTCTCTGCTACAGGTGTGGGAGTCACAGGCCAGGATCCTTGCAGCTCCCCAGGTGAGTAGGAGCTCAGGAGACATGGAAGAAGGGGCACCATAGAAAAGTGTGAACCCCTAGACAATAGCAATGGGAGGGTGGATGGGAAGGTGTAGGCAGGGATGGGTAGAGAATGAGTATTGTGTGAGTCCCAACTAAAAACCTGGTAATCACACAGTAAATAGAATTTGTCACAGTGACAGATCATCAGTATGACTGGAAATGAAGGTCAGATCCTCAGTAGGTTTAAATTAGCATCACCTGGCTGGTTCCAAAAGAATGGGGCCAATTTACACCAGTCAGGGACCTGGCCCAATGTAATTGGGATACATATCTAAGAAATGTTACAGGAGTAAATCTTGGCAGGTATGGAGCTAATACATGAGTTTATTAATGAGACCAGAGTACTCTCTTAGATGGATTTGTCTTAAATGTCCTACATTGCACCTTATTTATTTATTCCAACATGAAGAAAGATGCATTTCTTACAAATTCTTCATTAAACCTTAGCTCCCTGCCTGGCTCTGCCTTCACTGCAGAGATAACTCGTATTACTCATACTCAGTGACTCTCCTGAAGTTAGCTGAGCTTACATGAGAACAACCAGGCCACTGCGCCCACATTGGCTCTGTGCTCACTCACATGTAGGCCTCTTGGCTTCTGGGGGCATGTTCCACAGCTCTGAGAGATGAATAGTGGGAGAACGTGTTGGTCCTTTCTGAGCACTCTAGAGGGACGGTGGGAAAGCACGGGAGGACCAGGGGTACTTGTGTGCACACTGCAATGTTTGTGGTGACAACTTGATACTCACTCAGAGTTCCCATCTATCCCCCTTGGGCTAGCCAGCTCCAAATAAGAGCATCGACACACTGGAGTTATGGGATTTCTGCATAGATGGGACTCAACTTAGGAGCAACCTTTGAGTCATAACTTGACTTAATGCTGCTCTGAAAACAAGCCATTAGTCTCCTCTCAGAAGTGTGTTCTAGAATCTCCCTACACTGCAGGGAGTCTCCCAGCCCAACTCCATTGACTGAGGCTTGAGCTGGAAAGTGAAAATATCAGCGCAGACACCCTGGCAGGAATGTCTGCACAGCAAGTTTTAGTCCTCTCACATGAGCCCCCAAGTCTGAGTAAGTTGGCCTGAACTCTGGGACTTGCTACCATGTCAGGGTTTTGTGGTGTAGACGTGCCCTTAATCTCTTTTTTTTTTTTTTTTTTTTTTTGTTGCAGGTGAATTCCCTTCTCCTAAATTGTCCCTGAGCAGCACTTCAGCTTGGATGGGAGGCTCCGTCTTGGCCGAGTGTTCCTTACTTCCCCTCATTGCAGCTACTTTAGTTATTTTCTGTCAGGATGGCAAACAAATCTCCAACCAATCGGTAATACCAGGCCAGTCACTGTACCAGTATCACATCTCTGTGCAGCGCTCAGCCCAGTTTCGGTGCATGTACCAGTACAGGAATAACCAAAACCATGTGGGCAATTCTCTTCTCAGTCAACCCCGGACCTTGCATGTCACAGGTGAGTTGTCGGACCCTAACACAATGTGAGGTGGGGGAAGGGAAGAGCTGGCTGGTGCCAGGTATTTTAGAATTATGAGGGTTTCTGCCAGAGGGATCTGTGAAAGGCCAGGAAACTGATCACTGCCAAAGCGGGGAGGGTTGTGCACAGCCTAGTAGCTCTGTTACCCCATTTCCCGTCCCACCCCTTGGCCTGTGTGTCTGTCTCATCCCCCCACCATGTTTTGACTTGAGAGCAGGGACTGACATTTATTGTGTTTGTGACACTCCCAGCACAATGGACCCCCACCTGGACCTGTCCTTCCGGTGCTAGTATGTTATTATTATAACAATAACAGCAGCTGGGGTTCTGATCCATTGACTCCAATGCAGTGACATGGGGAGCTGGCCCATTGACACCAATGAACTGATGCTGATTTACACCAGCTCACTGATATAACAATTCTCCCAGCGTGATCAGTTCTAGGAGTTATCCTGTAGCTGACTCACTGTATCTGAAGATTCAGCTGTCAAGGGCCAACACTGTGTGACTCTGTGTGTGTTTATTGCCCAGGCAAGAATGTTCCGTCCAGTACCACTGAGCACAGCAGTAGCGGCAGCTCTGAGAAAAAACCCACCTCTCCTAATGGTAAGTAATTTGCATTCGCTAGTGGCCAGATTCCCAACCCAGTGGGGGCAGTGGGAAGATTTCCCCTGATTGCTTTACGCTGTGTGTGACACACTAATTTGGTGTATTTCCTGCATGCCAACCTAGAAGGGGGCATCTTCTTCTCATCCTCTCCATGAGGAACCCCAGCTAAGCAGCTTCCTCCAACCCACCCCACACCAGGGAGCTTGGGGCAGCACGGGGCAAAGAGGGGTGGTCAGGGGTGCAGGAGAAAATTGGTTTGTCTCCTCATCTCCTCCCACAGCTCCCAGCTGGCATCACCTGCCAGGGTTGGTGTGAGAGGTGCACTGGACAGGGGTTCTTCTCATCCTCTCCATGAGGAACCCCAGCTAAGCAGCTTCCTCCAACCCACCCCACACCAGGGAGCTTGGGGCAGCACGGGGCAAAGAGGGGTGGTCAGGGGTGCAGGAGAAAATTGGTTTGTCTCCTCATCTCCTCCCACAGCTCCCAGCTGGCATCACCTGCCAGGGTTGGTGTGAGAGGTGCACTGGACAGGGGTCTATGAGGCATTTCCCCCCCCCCCCCCAAAATTTGCCAAATGGGGGGGTTTCCTT